ACTACAGTACGAAACGTTCAAAAAGGCAGCTCAAAGCCGAGGAGAGGAGTTTGGTCCGGGAAAGACTCCATTATGGGAGTTGGCTTTCAAGTACTTTCCGCCAAACAATGGTGTCTCGGCCATGCACACCGAGGAACAGTCTTCAATTGACGACACGAATCGAGGTTTACTAAAGCGAGACGACAGGAAATTGGTGGAGGGTGCAGAATGGGATATCCCTGCGACAGCACCTCCAGAAGAAGAAGAGGAAGATTCGCTACCAGACACCCTTCCTCCAGACACACAGAAGATAATAGTGCCCGTTTCTGACGACGGACCGAAACGTGCCGTCGCTGTGCTGGAGTCAGCCCCTGGGTCAGTGGTCTCCAACATTTCGGTCCCCATGACCAATTCACTGCTGTCATGGGGGCGTGGGCCGACCAATACAGTGATTTACGAGCAGAAGACAGAGATTCGGGTGCCTAAGTACGCTCTCAAAATTCTGTTATGGAAAGACGGCTACGATCCCTCCAGAGACGTCACCAAGCATCCCTGGGACAAGAGTCCTGACGGCAAAGGGTTCGCCTTTTATCTGTCTACAAAGGCAACAAATGGTGTCCAGGTCAATGGAGTCTCGCTTTTGTCCTACGACTGCAAGAATCCAGCCGGTCCATCTAAGAACTGGGTCCAGCTCTATGATGGTGATGAGATTGTTGTCTGGGGGACCGCCGCTGACACGACGAGCCAGACCAAGGTTACTTTCCGCTGCTTCTACGGAGACTCTGCCCGCCGGCGACCCGATGACGTGCCGCCTAAGCTCGTGCCCCCGTCGACTGCGCGTAGAGTGGACGAGGTCTGTGGTCGGTACGAAAGGAAGCTCAAGACGTCGGCGGAGAAGAACGCCAAGCTTGCCGAGGTTGACAGGGAGTTTGCGGAGCGCAAGCAGAATATTGAGAGGGAGCGCGAGCGTAGCCGCGCTTTTGAGGAGAAAAGACTCGAGGCGCATCGTTATATCGCGCTTAGGAACCATGTTTCGAGGCGGGGGAGTCCCGCGAGCGCGCCAGCTGCGACTGTGCTTAGGGGCCAAACGCCTGGCGGTGGCGGCGGTGTACCGTCCCCGTTGGGAGAGCAGGCGAGCAGCAGTCCGAAGAATTAGGAGTCCCTCGAGAAGGAAGAGGATTCTGGTGATCTAGGCTATGATGCCCGGCAGATACCGACAGACTTGATGTACGACATGGGCGAGAACGACGTCGACATCAAGTTTGAGTCAACGCAAGAGTTCAGTCAGGGAGGCGGGGGTGAAGAGATATGCTATGGTGAGGGTTCTGGATAGCGTTAACTGTTATAGGCGCCTCTTCCTGTCTCTGTTGGACGTTTACAAACCAGCGCTTGTTTCTATATATGCGCAACGGCAAATTCCCCGCACCGTCGATAGCCCTCTTTCTCAGAGTTCGGGTTATCGCGGCGGAGGCTACACGGAGCTTGTGTGTTGGTTGGCATGAGAAAAGAAAAAGCGATAAAGGGATAGCGGGTTAGAGAGTAGATGAAGTATGAAGAGAACAAAAACCTCATGAAGAAATACAATAAATCAGCATTACCAAGACCTACTACCGGGTTCCCTTGGTATCTCGTGCTACGGATCAACGTAATGGTACGAAATTGAGCGGTGGATCAAGATAGATTTGGTCGTTGAAACTTTGGAGTTTGCACAGGTGTCCCCCCTCCCCCCCCCCCTGGATACACATCTTTGTGATACGTCGCCGTTGCCAGAAACCTGCAAGGCAGACAGGTTGCACATTGCCTCACTGGCATCGTCTCACGCAGGCGCCAATGAAATTAATCAGACCAAAGTCCGGGATCTTCTTGCAAGAATCGCAGACCGTTCTCAATACACACAGTACACATGCAACGCTGCTTTTTGAAAAGATGGAAGAAAAAAAAAGCCTTTGATCATTTGAAAAACACCTTCCGAGTCATGCTTACATGTCTAGTATACAGCTTGGGTATAGCAATATCACAAACCTCGCCACTTCTTCGTCTGGGGCTTGCGGCGAAAACGGGCGGTGCTTTGTATTCGAGCCCTTGCTCCGATACACCCCCTCCCCCCAAGGATCGTGCTCTTGACCCCAAAGGGGTGTATGCGACTTTAACCGCGGTTGAAGAGGCGGCCGACCATACCGGTCGCGATGCTCCCTGCCAGACCGCCAGAGTACAGGGCGCTTCCGGCCATGTTGGACGCGTGGCTGAACTTGTCGCATCTCGAAAAGGCCATGGCGTTCATGATGGTCAGGACCAGGGCGATGACTACAAACACACGCCAGAGTTAGCACGCTTTTGCTACGGTATCGAGACAATATTTTCGCCCAGAAAGACTCTAGTATCATCGCAACGAAAGCTGGAGAATAAGTCTGACACCCATCATCCCAAGGGGTGACGGTGGACCAGCCAGAGAAACGTCTCGAGGAAGAGAGCAAACTCACCAACGAGCGGCAGCCACAGGAACTGCAACCTCACGAGCGCAAAGACGGCGAGCAGGATCCAGAGGACGGGCTGGACGTAGAGCGCGAGCCAGAAGAAGCGGCTGTCGGTCGGGTTGATCGTCTTGGTGCCGGGCTCGCTGCTCTCAAAGACCCACTGCGAGTCGCCCGTCTGCACGTCCACCTCGTTCCACCACCGCAGTCCTACGAGTCGACGGCCGGCAATGTTCTTCAGGTAGTAAAAGTCGGCGGCGAGGAGGAGGATGGTGATGATGAAGATCATGATCCTGAGGAAGGGAAAGTTATGGTTAGCAAACGAGAGCAAAACGGATGTAGGGCATAGTGTTTGTTGCGATGAGCGCCGTGGGTGTGGGTACGCGAGTATCTTGGCCCAGGACATGTTTGATGGATGGAGACAACAGCTCGAGAAGTTCGAGGTGGTTTGTGGAATTGGTTTCGTTTCGAGGTTCGAGAAGGGAAGGGGGGGGGGGGGGGAGCTTTGCGACGACGTACATGCTTCTGATGATCCACAGACCGAGGAAGTACACGAGTACACTTGCTGTTCCCACAAGAGCATGTCAGTCAAGGTTCCAGTAGAGATCAAGGCGGTGGAAAGGAATCCAGGAGCTTGATGGGTGACTAACATATCCGAAATGCAAGAAAGGTCAAGAGGGTGATGGGATGCGAGCTCAACCGCCAGCTCAGGGAGCCTGGCGCATCTTGCTGCTGTTGGGATTCCATCTCGGTGTGTCGACTAAGACGATCGTTCGTTTCGATGGGGGGCCGTCGCACTAGGTAGGTATCGTATCTTTATAACTTCAATTGCCGAACTTCGGTTTTTTGGGCAAAATGGGAGATGATAACGACGCAATCAGGGGTTTGGTTTGTTCTTCGTCGTCGTGCGCATGTCGTGGTTCTGATGACAGTCGAGGGGGACGAGAGGGATGCACTGATCGAAAAAAGGGCCAGAAACTCGTTATGGTACAGCTGTCGTAATGCGCGGGCCGCAGGGCAGGCGTGGGATTCCAGCTTGGCTGTCCTCCTAGGCGCGTTCGACTGGCCCAGACCCGTTGAAGCTACGGTAAGCTGTTCGGCGGGTGGAGGCTGAATTATTCCGCCAGGGGGCCGGTTGGTACATGGGACCCGCCTGATTATTAGCGCTACCGGTGTCCAGGGGTCCTTTAGCGGTCTGGCCCGGCAGAAACGCCAGGTCCCGACCAGTGCTCGCATTACATCATCAGATGCACCCCAGCTTCACTGCCTGTTGCGGGCAGCATCCAAGTAGCCGACTTGAGCTAGCCGTTCCGAACTCGAGTTACCGAGTATCGGTCCTTAAAATAACATCGACTTGCTGGTGCCAGAGGTTCAAGAGCTGCGTCTCATCGTGTCTAGACTTGCCAATCACCTCAATCAACACTATAAGCGATCATTCATTGCTTCAACCAATTTCTTAATCAATTCAAGAGTGATAGGCTACGGCTTACACAATTCCAAGTCGTAGCATTGCATCCGACGGTCTATCATCATGGCGGCAAGGTCCTCTTCAATTGTCCGCCGGGCGTTGCTTTATGGTGACTACAGCGACTCTGACAACCTAGAATTCAACTGACGAGTCTAGTGCCCTCATCATCGGAAAAGATGCTGACCAAGTCGCTGGGCCTAAAGTCCGACAACGTGACATATGATCTTGAGGATTCTGTGACACCCTCATTGAAGTCAGAGGCTCGAGGTCAGCTCCGGTCTTTCCTCTCCAAGCATAAGTCGCGGCCGTCTTCTATAGGCGAATTGGCGGTTCGAATCAATGCAGTGGAGACCAAGTTTGCTCTGGACGACTTGACATCTCTAGGCTCGCTCCCAAATATCGATGCTGTCGTTGTTCCAAAGGTCAACTCCGCTGCCGATTTGACTTACGTTACCGATGTTTTGCGTCATGTAGCCCCCGAACGACACACGGCGACATCACAAAATCCTATCAAAATCATCGCCTTGATCGAGTCTGCACGTTCAGTTATGAACCTTTCAGAAATCTGCAAAGCGTCGCCATACCTTAGTGGTCTCATCTTTGCGGCCGAAGACTTTGCCCTGGATTTGTCGTTGACTAGAACGCCATCCCTCACCGAGTTCCTCTACGCACGCTCCGCCATTGTAACTGCTGCCAAGGCCGCCGGCTTACCTAGTGCGATCGACCTTGTCTGCACCTCCTACAAGGGAGAAGAAGGCCTCAAGCGACTAGAAGAGGAGTCTACCGGAGGAAAGTCCATGGGTTTCAATGGAAAGCAGTGTATACATCCAAACCAGGTGGAACTTGTCCAGAAACTGTTTGCCCCTGGCGAAAAGGAGGTCGAGTGGGCAGTGCGTGTTGCAATCGCAGACGAGAAAGCTAGCAACGCGGGCCGTGGAGCCTGGACGTTGGACGGTATGATGATCGACGCACCGGTGACCGGAAAGGCGAAAGCGATAATTGCGAAAGCAGAAAGATGTGATATAGACGTGGCAAGCCTCCGAACGAAATGGAAGGACCAGCAGCCTGAGTAGACTACGTCGCTAATGAAAGTAATTTGGCCGCCAGAAGGCAAGCATTTCCTCCTTTTCGTCTTTATCGTACTTGTCGTCCTCCGGCTGTTTTTTTTGCTGCTGTTCCCAGTATTGGTTACTTTGATCGGGTCGCTCGCCATGATATCTGATCTCGGATACTTCCTCTTCCGTTCGGCCGAAAGCGTCCTCCGGGTGCCGCCGACCGGGTTCTGTGAGGGGTTGGTTGATCGAAACACCCTGCGGTATCAGAGATCGAGCCTCTCTGAACGTGTCTGAAGGCGCTCCGAGTCGGTCATCATGCTGCCAACTGCGAGCCTCATCGGAGGGGTTGTCCACGTATCCTAGGCTCTCAGGTCCCAGTACCTCCTGTTCGACGCGAGCAATGAAATCAATTATGCTTTCCGACCGTTGAAACTGGGACGGATTGAACCTTGTCATAGAACCATGACCATTTGTTCGGGGGCGAGAAAAATTATGAGGCTTTTTTGGTTGATTGACCCGAGATGTCGTCCATGGAAAAAGCTGTGGCGGCCAGAAGGTTTCTCCCCAATGGTCAATCTCATAGGTCAGATGATTATAGGAGTTGTTGTCAAGTAGTTCTTCTTCGGGTAAGGCAGACTGGTTAGGTTCTTCCCTTCCAGATAGAGCATCTGAGGCTCTTATATGTTGCCAACAAGGTACTGGAGGCACGGCAGACAGTTCGGGCGCCAGGAATTGCTCATCAGACTGGTCGACAGTTGCTTCATGCCCGAGCTCGACGTCACCCTTGGCACACACGTCACTTTTTTCAGCTACCGGCATAGTTGCTTTAGCAATATTTGATATGATCGTCTGTGCTTCCTGGATATTATTCTTTGATGTTGCTTGCGTTTTCGCAGAGAGGTCAATGGTTGGTGGTACCAAATACGCTTGCATAGCCGTGGATGATCGTGTCGTAGGAGCGGCAGCCTTGCGACAGGACTCTCCGTTGGAGTCCTTGTGTATCTCGCCGCCAGACGGCTCGTTCAGCGCTTTTTCTGTAGTTGAGCCCACCAAGACCTCCGCCCTGGTATCGGCCGTATTCTCCAGCACAAAAGAATCGCGAGCGACTGACAAACTCCTGGATTGCTTCAGAACGCTAGGTGAAAGTGGCGATTTGTCTGTAGTCATGACTCCCTTGTCTAAATACCGAATAATTATCGGCTGTTTCCGGGAAGCTTCGAAGTTCTTGGACTCTCCATCAGGATGCACCTCTTGTTTGCGTCGACGTAAATCATGCGACGAGACACGAGCGTTTCTATTTATCTCAGCACCATCGAATACACCAGTCTCTCGAAGCGCCTCTCTAATCGGCTCAGGGGTACTACTGTGGTGTCGGTCGAAAGAGTTGCCTGGTAAGGATGTTTGATGATTGCCACTGGTGGCCCAAGTGACATAAGTCGTAGCTCTACTGCTTGACCGACCATGTCGAGCTGGCGCCACGTAGGTCTTGTCGCGGATGTGGTAGCGTTGGTCGTCTCTCAAATAATCTGACCCCGTAATGCTTCTAGTTGACAAACGGTCGTCGCACGCCGGAAGGTTCTCAGGCAGTCGGTCCTCCGATTTCTGATCTTCGTAGCCATCACGAGATCGCCCTCGGCCGGCGATTGGGTGTCCTGTTGTAGGCGTCTCCTTGCGACAAAGAAACGTTGATATTTCCACCAGCTCAATCTCTCGCCGTTGTCTAGCCTTGGCTTCTAAGCGTTGCTGTCGTTGCCACGAGTACTCGCGTGATGGAGGCTGCTCGACCGAAGACATGGAGTTATAGGCTAGGTCTGCAACTACAACAATTAGTTGCGCGTTCAGAATGTCTAGGTAAATAAACTTACCAGGCTTTGACGAAGATATCTGTCCATTTTGAAAGAGGCCTGGCGTCAGGCACGGCTGGAGCTACAAATTCGTTAACCAAGATTTACTTGGATATCCAATGCTTACTCACCGTGAGCCTGTCGTTCAGAACGGCTTCAGGTTGGAAGCTGTTCATGACATCTCGGCCCGATAAGATTGGCTTCTTCGGCACGTCTTCCGACCGCCTGGCAGTCTCCTCAGGGGCCCTACGTCGCTTTTCCTTGGGCTTCTTCCGAGAATAGTAACGGTCTTCTCTTGTTTTGTGTCTCGTTCGTTTCTCAAACCTGGGCGGGGAACTATCTGCTGATATGGGGAAATCTGTGACTCCTGTCACAAGAGAGCGATGGATGGGCCCATGGCTAGTTACCGCTATAGATGGCCTGGCTTTCTTCGTCATCGGCTCGGGGATGATGGAGCTATCTCGTGATGGGGCGCGCTTATGACCACCTCGGACAGCGTTCTGGAGGGAGATCCCGTGCGGCCTCCATTCTGGAGTTTGAGCATTGCCCTTGTCCTGATTTGACTGTAGTCGCTTTGCGGACTCTCTAGTATCGACGCCTCGACGACTGACATTGGCAAGCCAGTCTTCCACAATGTCATTGTCACTTCTGGCGGTTTCGAGTAGACTGCCATCCGAAGCCTGGTTCACCCTTCTCGACCTAGAACGGCTCATCCGCTCTTCTTCCAGGTATGGGTGCCTTGTTGCGACGGGTCTGTCGCTAGAGCGGCCGTACTGGCGACGATGCAGGTCCAGTTGATGATCCTTGGCCGCACGACTGCCCATCGTGCTCTGTTTCCGCGCAGGTTTGGGGCCCACAGAGACTAACGGTCCAAAGAACTTCAAAAGAGCAAACTATGGCGGGCACATGTAGTCTGGACATTTCCAGCCTTGAAGCTTCAGCCCGACGCCGAACATGTCTCTAGGAAGCACATTCTTGGTAGAACGGCAATAGCTATCTACACGGTATGGGAAATACCAACACACCGTACCCTGAGGATGGCATTTCTCTCCCAGTCCCGAATTCACTTGGTCCTTTCTTCGTTTCTTTTGCAAGGCGAAGAAAGAGGTTCCTCGCTCACGTAAGGCAGGTTATAGGCAATGTGGAGCTCGCTTCCGACACAGAAAGAGGTCGACTGATGTTCCCACATAGGAAGGAACGGTTTACCTGATATTAGGCGCTAAGATTGCTGTGCAGACTAGGCAGGGCAAGCACGAAACCTTTAGGCTCTAGCCCAAAGGCCGAGGTCCTTCCATCTTGATCTGACGTGCGGCAATACCTTCCATTTCCTAGGTACCATTACTTGCCTGAAAGTGGGCCGGATTCAACCTCACTCGAAATCTGCAGACTGTCGGTTCTAGTCTCCAAGCTTCCAATGCAATGTCATTTTCGGCACACCTAGATACCATTGCTTCCGCCGGTTCAATCGACCTGATGCCACTTAGCATGCGAGGTTTTCAAAAGTAGACCTGTTGACATCCGCTCTTATTCCAAACGAGTCTTGGCTAATAGACGCAGTCCCACCCAGGCCACAGTTGTTGAGCAGCTTTTCGCCTCTGCACAGATGCCTCCCAATGCTTTCCAAGCTTTCCCATCTCGGGGAATTTGCTACCACGACTGCGAGGGAGATTCGCCGCCTACCTTGAAACTGACTTGAACTATGTCCTTCGGGTATACCATGAGAGGCCAACCTCGAGCGCGAAATTCGTAGCGCCGAAGGTGCCGGCGTGTAAGACGGGTGAGCTGAAGAGAAGGTGAACGCCTACACACGACGCTGGAAAAACCCCTAGACACCCGCAGCATGTTCATACGGATATGGACAAGTAAACCGTGGCTCAATCCAGGCTCTGATATGGCCAAGCCGTGATTCGACGCACCCACGGCGGCAGGTGGGACAAGTTGGCACATTTCATTTCGCGAAGTCCCGCGTGAAGGGCATCGTCGGGCAGCATGACACCATGACCATTCCGCTTTGTTTCTTGGGTCAAGCGACAACCATCATCGGCTGGCCGGCGCACTTGATATGCAGGCGACGCGAACCTCAAGTTGCGGCTGTCTCAGAATGCCAAGACATGGCCCTGTAGAGACGGAACATGTCCTGTATCGAATACCCGGCCGAGTTCTATTGATAGCACCACCTTGGCGATGAGGGCAGCCGTACCGCTCTCGACCCGTCCTGACAGATGCTTGACAGCTGGACATGCAGGCTCCTGTGCCTGTGGCCGCGAAATATGCTCAAACGAATCTCGCACGTTATACACGCCTGGTCTACCAACAAATCCACTTCACATCGATGCGAATAGTGCGGCAAGAAGCTGTGCCTGCATTCATCACATGACTTTGAAAAGATGCGGAGCGCGAGTCTGCCAGAGTTTACCGGAGCTATAGCATTGTCTCCGGGCTCGATGTCGCCAATCCTCCGTCCGCTTTGAGAGTTTCTGGGCGACAATGCCTAATCGTCGGGGAATCGGGTACCCAAGAAATCGCGTGCAGTCAGGTGCAAGTAGCTTTGGAGATCAGCTCAAGAGACAATTCGCAGGGTCGTATCGTCCGTGACGACGCACGTGGCTACAAGAGCTCCCCCCGGACAGGTCATTGCGCAGCGGTATCTCAAGCTCTCTATATGTGTCGATAACGACGCTGGCCCTAACAAGCTCTTTGCTTTTGCAACCAAAAATCAGGATGTGGACCTCGAAGAAGGCGCAGCAAGTTTCACCGTCGTCCGGTCAAGACCTTTTAATTATAGACGGTCCCTGGCAGTTTCGAATGTCACTGGGATCCCCAGAGAACAACCCCGTGCTCCTTCCAACCGCCAGCCCTGCCGCGAGCGTACGACTATACGATATGCGTCGATTAGCTACCTATATTCAACTTGCGAAAGCCAAAATCTCATCGTGGGAGCAGCAACCAAGCGGTGTGAAAATCTAAATGCTGCCGGAGCATGGAGCCATCCCCAAACCTTGGTATTCCCGGCTGGATCGCGGACATGTGCATTAGGTTTCCTGCTGGTGGCATTCCGGAGGCCAAGTTGCCCCTCCATCTCTCGACTTGAAGGCCCCCATAATCGCTGGCCCATGCGACATATGACGGCGGCTATCTTTCCATGGGTACGTAGTTTAAAGGTTCCACCACTTTAGACCCTACTGATGAAGTTCTCTAGCCGTTGACACGTCGTTGCGTCACATCATACAGTCGATATCAAAACTCTTTCAGGGCGGCGCTGCTCGATTGTTGACGATGAAACTAAATTGAAAGTCTGAGTCGCAAGGACGGCAACTAATATGACTGAGCCCGACGTCGCCAAGGTGTATTGCTACTGGTCGTTGTTGCGCTGACGTCTGGGGAGCGGCTCAGGATTGTCAAGTTATTTAATGTCGCGTCGCACGAAACGGACAATTGTCGGGCGAGTAGGTACCAAACGTCCCGAATGTCTCGAGGTCGAACGTCGAGGAGAGTTGAGGGGTTGTTTGTGCGCCGTGCGTGACTTGAGGGAGGGGCAGTCGTGGCCAAACCAAGTTGACGATACGACAGAGGGGGTGACGGCCGTCGACGTCTCCACTGGATCGACCAGCTCCACTAGCAAGGAGAACTTGGACCACAAGATGCATCCACAAGGAGAGGTTGACTTCACGACTTCAGCAAATTCACCCACATCGCAAAGGCTGCTCATGGGCCTCTCGCTGGTCAGTGCCTCGCGGGGAGTGGAGCCTCAAGGAGACGACGGCATTGAGCGTTTTGCGCCAAAAAGAGGTTGCTTACCGACTTCTTGTTAGCTGCTGGCCCCAGAGCTCTCCCAAGACGGACTGCTTCGCGTGTCGCCTCGCATGAGTAGTTAATGCCGGCAAAGGAACTCTCGCCTTAGAAAGCTACTTGGTCACATCTTTGCGCATGAGAAAGAAGCATCTAGGCCAAGGTCACGGCGGAACGGCAAGCCGAGGTTGACGAGGGTAGCGTGACGAGAGCAAATGGCTAGAACCCTGGAGCGCATTGGACGACAAGCCAGGGACGGACTACAGACCGACACCACCCATGGACAAGTTTGACGAGTGAGAAGACGATCGAAGTCATCCAGGCTTTCTCCGGGACGCCTGCGTGGGATAAAGGCTGCACTCGCAGTCGCCAGCAGCATGGCACGAACATATCAGCAAACAGATGGTCAATTGCGCTACGACGCAGCAAGGGCAGCGGCGACGGCACGGGTACGGCGAATGTCGCAATATGCTGGCCGGGCGAAATCAAACGGATAGGGACGCACATTCGAGCATCAGTCAGAATTGGCCGCCTCCCGGAGCCCGTCACGCCGCACATCTGGAATGCAAGCCGAGTCGAGAACCGGTTCTGCAGGCTCTGCAGCGAGGTGCAACACTAGGAGACTCCACTTTCAGGAGAAGGTGGACGCTGGAGAATGATGTTGCAGCTCCAAGATGTTCATCTTGCTTCAAACTGGGCATGGTCGAAGGAGGCTGTGCAAAGTGTGGGGTCGAATAGGAGTGTCACTCTTGGTCCAGTGCGTCCGCAAGTGACCAGGCCAAGCCTGTCGTCTCGCGCAGGTGTTTCCAGCACGATAATGGCGGACACAGATGCCAATCTGTTTCTTTCTGTTGTTAGGATAGCACCCTGTCGACTGCCCTCCCTCTTCTTTCTCAACCAACTTCCAGAAACCCAGCCTGACTGCCGACGGAGTATACCCCTCGTCGGCGTTGCCAGCTTCAGCTCGACCATCGTCTATCTAGCGGCTCACCAAAGACTAGCAACGCCGGCGTCTGTGCGGATGCGAATTACTCGACTGGCTGCAAGGAGGGGCAGCTAGATCGTACATCATGGGCTGATTTCCCATGGCCGAACTTTTCCCCCTCGCCTGCGATCCGGTAGTAAGCCTTTTTCGCCTGCTCACACCCTGCAATAGCTGGGTTCATGGGTTTTAAGAAGCTTTCCGTGGTCCTGGTCTCTGCATCTCATCCCACCACACTTGCAGGCGCTTGGTTAGTCAGGTCGACCGCAAGTGTGAGCACATTGGGCACAATGATGAGCCGTATCAAAGGACGGGCAGCAGTGGAGTTTCTCGACATCACGGTACTTGGCACCGCATTGAGCGACAAGCCGTTGGCTCCTGGTGATGGTGATAATGCTGACGGGGCATGAGCCCCGGACGAGAGCTCACAGAATGGACAGAACGCCTCAGAAGAGCAGCTGCCTGGAGGTCGAGTGCGTAATTGCGTGCGTCTCGTCTTGCGTTGTCAGAGTTGAAGTGCTACGGAACGCGACAACGTCCACGAGGCCAGGCCGCGACAGCTCGGTATCGAAACCAAAAAGCTGCGATATGGTGGTTTCTCAAAAAAAGACATCCACTCGAAGGCGGTTTGACGGGCGGCATGCATACAAAGGGGCATTCGCATATCACTTGGCTGGATTGGACTGATTCAGAATGACTGAATGCGAATGGCAGCGCCGCGTCTGGGTTGTATGTCTCGCGGCAAGAGAAAAGACGGTCATGGATGACAGAAGTATCGCGGGGATGTACATGTGAGCTTTTCGTCTGTTTGATGCTTGTTTGGGAGGGGAAGCTAACCCTGCTACCACACTTATGCTCTGGTCGAAACATTGATGGGCGTTGGCCCTTTGGGCCTTTTCCCTTCCACAACCCCCCCCTTGCGCAGAAGAGCCGAATTTGGGATGTGGGCGGTCCCCTCTTGGGGACCCCCCTCCCCTTGACACCACACTAGATGCTCATGGATGGATTTTCATGGGTCCCTCTTCCCGGGCAGATCTCCCAGATGTCTTGGCCCTTGCCTCGTGTGCGGCGTTCCAGCAGCAACAGCGACAGCAGCAGCGGCGGCGGCAATGATCCAGGAAGCAAGCGGGCCTGTAAGAAAGACGCATGTACCTCTCAGGGTGAGGCAAGGTACCGTACGTAAGTGCCTACATGCCCTCCTCCCCGCAGGCAAGTCAGTTTTCCATATTGCCATGCTCACATCGCATGTATCGAAAATACTACTGATCTTGGCCTGCCTTTCGCCGCCGCCGCTGTTGGACTCGCCCCAGCGGACCCTGTGTCCATCGCATATAATATGAGGAACAGGGACGCGCCTGAGAATCGGGATGGAGGGGGGACAAACCGAAGACCGTGGGAAAAGGAACGAGAGAACGACAAAGAAAAGCGCGATTATTCGAATCCGACAGTGACCTGCGCCTGTCCCTGCTTCCGAAGCTCTTTTTTTTTTTTTTTGTTCCCCATTCCCCTTGCCTACTGCTACCTTATCGTCAGGGATCTGGTACTTGGTCTGACTTATTGAGGAGAGGGAAAGGATTCCTACCGGCTTTTGTCCCGCATTGTGATTTTTCCATTTACCTACTCCGAGAATATTACTACGTCTTTGTTCCACTTTCTCGACCTTTCTCTCAACGCATTTTCGAATCCATCACAGGAATTCGACTCGAGATATTGGGTGCCGGGAACCAATCACAAACAGGTATGTTTCCGCTATCCAACGCGTCTTTTACCTCTCTCTCTATCTCTCTTTTCCTCTCTATGGGTCTTTTCCAAAGATACGAACACGGTTCGTTTTTTCCCCTTAGAAACAAAAAAAAAACTGTTTCCGTTGTACTTTTTTCTTTCTTTCTTTTCTGTCTTATTCTTTGCCCGTTCCTGTCGCCTCAGGCCGAGACCAACCAACCCTGCCGTTTACCATTGTACCTGGTCATAGTCATTAGCGAGGAAAGGTACCTTGCATGCCGTCATTCAAGACGTCTTGTTGCCCGTCGGTCAATTGAATTGAACCACCCCTCCTCCTCCACTTGCCCCGACTCGTTGGACCCCTCCACGTTCCCGCCACGAGCTGTTGTCCATCTCGCATCGTGCCCGCACGGCGCCTTCCAGTCCCAATCCGATCAAGAACAGCCGGCGGCGGCGACAAGCACGGAAGACAACGGACAAGTGTTTGGCTGGGACCAGCGACGGCAAGCCGCAAATGGGGTCATTGGGAATACCTACCTCGCAAGCAATTTGTTGCACCTCAGGAAGCAAGAGCAAGAGGCAACGCCTGCTGCTGGTGCCCCTCACCTTCCCTCGTCCCCCCGTTCACCCCCCGTTCCCCGTTCCGCTCCTACCTTGCCTCTTCCCATTTGCTGTGTGTAAGGTACGAAGTACGGAGTGCGGGTAACGGAGCACCTTGCCTACCTTACCTTTCCTTACCTTACCTTGCCTTACGGCAGCCATTCCTGTCCAGTCAACTCGCCTTCCACTCCCACTCCCACACTCATACACACCAAACCTTACCTGCCTTGCCTTGGGCCCTTTTTGCACTGCCTCAACGCCCTTTCCCTCCATCCATTCAGAAATTTCCCGCTAACCAGCATTTCCTTTCTCCCCTCAAGGTGGCCTTTCTCACTCTTCTCCTTCTCACCCCCTCCTTCCTTTTTTCGATCCATCAAAGCCCAGTCTCAATCTTGACGTCTATCATCACAATCACCACACTCCTACCAACACCAACACCAACACCGCCCACCTAATTCCAACCACCAGGTCCGTATCTCACTTCCCTCAATCCCTCACTCTCCTCGGAAAAAATACTGCAACAAATCAATACACACCTCGGCCTCTTCCAACGGTCAACGGAGTCTCTCTCTCTTTTTTCTTTCCTCTCATCCCGTGGCGGCGACTGCAAACCTCTTTGTTTGACACAGCCCACAACCCCATCTGCTTTCCATCTCGCACTGCCATCCTCCGGCCTGGAAATTGTACGTTTGCTTTGTCGCCCATGTCGGGCCACTTTGCGCGCTATCGTCAAGTGACAAAGGCCATCACTGGACACTGCCTCGTCTCTTTGCTGCACAGGTGGATGCGAAGTCTCCCAATATTGACTCGCATGCTCAACCGAGAAGTGCCAAAAGGAGCGCTTTCGTCCCTTGACTTTCTTCCCTCGCCATCAAGAACCCCGCTTGGCGCCACACAGAAACCACTTGCATTTATGCATTGCAGCCTCCCTCGGACTTTTTTTGTTGAACAGATCCTAACTCGCAAGACAAACAGATAGTTCAGCAATCTCTTTGCAAGAAACAAGACACATTACTCTACCATCATCATGTCCAAGCTCTTTATTGGGTACGTTTCCCCCCTCTTGCGCTGGCGCATTGTGCACGTCGACAATATCAAATAAACTTTTGCTGACAAGATTTCCAACAGCGGCCTTGCATGGCACACTGAGGAAGGCACTCTCAGACAGAAGTTTGAGGAGTTTGGTGCCGTTGAGGAAGCTGTAAGTACTGATCGCCCGGTCCGAAGAAACTTTCTTGAGAATGGCGTCGCCATAGACCATGGAGAGACACTTTGTCCCAACATTCCAGTAAAAACGAAAAGAGAGAGGGTCCATTTTTGTGCGTGAGAAAGAGAGAGAGAGAGAGATCTGACCGCTATTCTTCCCCTGCTTGAAGGTCGTTGTGAAGGACCGCGACACTGGCCGCAGCCGTGGATTCGGCTTCGTCCGCTACACTCAGGATAGTGACGCTCAGAAGGCCATTGCTGCCATGAACAACGTCGAGTACGCTGCCTTTGCGAAACTGCTTTCCATTGCTTGCTTGTCCCGGCGCAATGATCGTGGGAACCCTTCAGCCGACTAACACATGAACTTGACAGGTTTGACGGACGCACTATTCGCGTTGATAAGGCCTCTGACAACGGTCCCCGCGGTGGCGGTGGCTACCGCGGCGGCTTCGGCGGCGGTGGTGGACGTGGCGGCTACGGCGCGCCCCCTGTGCCTTACGGAGGCGCTCCCGGTGGATACGGCGTTCCCAACATGGGCTACCAGCAGCAGCAGCCTGCTTACGGCCGCGGCTACCCCCCTCAGCAGCCCTACGGCGGTGCTCCTCCCCAGGGTGAGTTGACGATGTCGTCTCTGTTGCTGATTCGTCTTGCTAATACCTCATAGATGGCTACGCGCCCCAGGCTCCCTACGGATACGCCGACCCGTCTCAGCAGCCCCAGGGCGGCCGAGGCTATTAGCGCTCGCTAGATTTCGGAGATTCGTTGCCCGCTAGTTGTCGGTTTTCGCAACTCGGGAACATGCGGCCAAGACATGTTGCCGACGCTCAACTGCTCCGAGTCTGACAGACGTTCGTGTGCGCGCCCGTTGGTTCGATCGAGCTTTGGTGATATTCTTCGCTGCAACACAATACCCGGTTCTTCTGTTGCACTGGATCTCTGGAAAATAAAACCCCAACCCGCGGTCAAAAGGGTTGGTAACGGCCTAGTCTTCTCAATTGGAATGGTTTTCTGCTTCTGTCCTTGATCTTCACCCTTGTTGCCCCAAAATGGTTGCTGCCACTAAAGTCTGGGTGTGTTTTCCGCATGCGGTGATGGTTCCTTTTCCGGTGATCCTTGTGGAGTATGGGTGGGCGGCGATGTGGGTTTGTATTTGGGAATGATGCAGAGTGTTGTCGGATTCATCGTGGACGCCAACGGATTTGTGGTCTAACGCTACATGTCTGCCTGACTGTCTCTCTTGATTGACTCTCTATGTGTTGAATGTTCTGAATAAAGAATGTTGGTTGACATGGGCTCCAAGGCGTTGTTGCACCACGGCCAAAGGGGAAAGGTTGAAAAAAGGGGTTGGGTGGGCAGAGGCTTGATTTTCAAAGGGGGAAAAAAAAGAAGAGGCGAAAGAATGTGCAGAAAAACTCTTCAGTCTGTCTTTTCAGTCTCCTCCTGTTCCTTGACACTGGTTTCTTGCTTGAAAGTACCGCCGACGGCTGACAGCGGTGGTTGCGTAGCATCGTGGGATGTCTCCTCGGCGGAGATGATGGCCCGCACTCTGTTGGAGAGGTCGGTGATGTGGACGTCGCCACTCTCCGGGCTCAGTCCGTCAAGAGCTTCTTCGAGGCCAAGAAGGTAGTCGATGTTTAGCCCACTCGGGCCGCGGCTCTTACGGATGTGGGCGGCGAGAGCCTGAGGATCCTGTGGTCCGACAAACTGGTCATTGTCCGGGGTGCCAATATACACAAGTGTGCGGATTGGCTTGGAGCCATCAGCTGGGTAGAAAGGGGCGTAGTGGATCGTGTAGCCGTTGATCTCGCGAATGTCAAGATAGTCCTTGACTTCGGCGACCTTGTCTGCCTTGATACGGTAGGCGACACCCCAGACGCGTTCAGGTGCCGAGTCGTGGTGGTCGGTCAGCTGCTCCCAGAACGAGCGCTCTATGAGCGTGACAACACGGCCAGGAGCCTCGGGTGTGCCTCTGTGGTCTTGACTAGTGAAGGGGTCAGGACGTCTTGATGTGGGACAAGATGGCGGGTGTTATAAAGCCCTTGAGGGTCAAGTGGTTACCTTGCCTGCGTGAGGTGTTAGTGAGACTAGTGGAGACGAGGGGGAGGCAGGACGTGAAGTGGAAATAAGCATTGGTCGCAGCGGGCACTAGGGACGCAAGGTGGCCTTGTGTTCCACGGGGCTGGATGAGACGGCACGCCCGGGGGAGGTAAGGGAGAGACGAACCTGCCAGAAGCGACGGACGTATCCTGTCACCCATCCAGGGATTCTTCTATCTGTGGGGGGTGGACAACATAGATCAGCCGACGGCTCGGATGGCGGCAAGGGGCAGGAGGAGAAGGAGGAGGAGGAGGAGGAGGAGAAGGAGGATAGAAGGGGGGTGTGGTGTGGACGAGGTGAGGCTAACCGAAGTGCGGCGGAGGCTTCCATATCAGACTCCTGGAAGACGGGGTTTGTAACGTTAGCACCGACATGTGTGAGGCTTGTCTACGGCAGGCAGGGATGCGTGCGCCATGCGGGAGGGCGGGAGGAGCTGGAGGACAAGAGCAGCCCAGTCCAGTCCAGCCCAGTAGGGAGAGCGGCAGGGATCGAGGGTGATCTCGAAAGGTCGAGAACGTACCCATAACCGTACAGCCAGAACTCGCCGCTGCCGTTGGTGGAGAGGTCGGTGTCGGGCATGCCGGCTGTCGTATATTTGAAGTCTGCCTGAGACGATGTACAACACGAAGAAGGCGAAGAGACGGGATATGAGAGATGACAGTCCAGTTGTTGCTGTCCACCGTGGATTCGAGGTGAATACCTACACTTGAGAAGAGTGTTACAACTGGTGTTCACGATGCCAAAGTCTGGAGGAATTTCGAGCAAATCAGTCCCACTCCGGTGTAACTCGCTTCGGACCCTGCACACACACACACACAAAACATAAAAGAGAAGCGGCAGAGGCAGCTCGGCGATCCAGCTTGGATCGATCTCTCAGGGCACTTGCCCAGGCGCGTGAGGGCCGAAGGTTACGAAAGCCATTGGTGACGCCCCAGAGCGGCAAACCGCAAGGGCCGAGGTGGGAGTTGTGTGAGGGGACCGCATGAAGCCGCGCGTACACATGTTGGAGATAGGTAGACAGACAAGCAGACAGGCAAACAAACAGAACAGAACACGACGGGAAAGGTCAGATTTGAGGGGTAATGAAGAGAGGTGGACGAGCAAGACGATGAGGAAGAGGAGGAGGAGAAGCAAGAGGAAGAGGAAGAGGAAGTGTTCTAGAAGGGGAGGGGACTGGGGGGTCTAAAACGGGCCAGGCGGAAAAGTCAAAGTGGCGGGCCTATGTGAGGTAGGGTAAAGTGAATCGGGGCGTGGTCTTGAAGAGAAGGAGATGACGGTACATACGATTTTGGAATTAGAAGGCGGGGAAGAAATGGAAGACTGGAGAGGGAGACGGAGGTGTTCCAAGTGATCG